ATATCAGCGGCATTGATTGGTCTTCTTTGGTATAAGTGTGGTGGAGAGCACAGAGTCGCCGTGCCAGCGTCTTGTAGTAGGGTGGAATGGGTAGTCCACGAATGGGAAACTCCTTCATTGGTTCCTCTTCCTTCTTCTCCTTCTTCTTCTTGAGAACCTTTTCAGTACTGTCAGTACATGTTGTCGTCTCGACCGACGGTACCACCAACAAGCAATCATGTAGTTGTTCTGATATTCCGAGCGACAGTGGCGAATTTTGGACGAGGACTTGATGGACGGCGAATTCCCACTGTTCTATTAGTGGTAGAGAGGGAGAGGAAGACCACCATGACGGACAGCAGAAGCAGAATCCATGACAATATCGCCACCAAAGTAGCCGCAAAGGGTCAACAAAAGTGTGGCGTCGGAGTGTACCGGTATGAATGACGGTTGTCAACATGGTTTATTGTTGAAGGTCAAATAAATGGAAAATGGCCGAGAATAGGGAGCTTTTGAGAGTTCCTCGAACACACGTCTGGATCTTTTAATTAAATAGTAGCTTTGCTGAGTTCAAACCTGGACGTCAGCGACAAAGATCCTTGCCTTTGATGTTTTACTTCTTTTCTTTTTAGTAAAGTAGTGCACAAGGAGCAACTTGGTTTGTGTAATAGTCTACTCTAGCTAGTTGTTGGTGTTAGACCAACCTATCCAGTCTTCTTGACTGTCACTCTTATTCTAAAGACAGATAGACAGACAGACAGACAGCCAATATCTCAAGCTATTAATAGAAAGAATGGCGCTTCCAATCCGAAAGCTTTTGCTGTCTTTTCTGGTGGCATTGATTGCCTTTTGCCATTTTGCCAATGCATTCCAAGGTACATGTACCACCAGCTCCCTTTCCAAGTCTACTCCTCGGCCTCTCGTGGTTCTTGAGGTTGGAGGATATCTGGACTCTTTGGGTGGAGGAGATAACAGCAACCATGACAATCAAAAACCACCCGATAACGCCTACGCCCCCAAGCTGCCGCCGCCAGATACAGGGTCCCAACAGCTACCCAACCAGCAGTACGCCCAGCAACAACAGTCAATGCCTAGCTATCCTCAGCAGGCACAGCCGACGACCATGAACCCATATGATCAACAGCAACAGTATCAACAGCAACAACAGGATCCGTATGGTCAGCCTCAACAGCAACAATTCCAGCAAGGAATGAATCCCTATGGCCAGAAGCAGAAACCCCGGTCTCTTTCGGATATGATATCATTGGAGGATGACGATGATGACCCAATGGGCTTTTTTGCTGGCCAACAACAACAACAACCCATGATACAACAACAGCCCAACCCGGACGACGATACACAGGACATTGACGGAGCAGTCCTGACGGAGGATATGAAACAAAGGGCCAAGGCATCGCACGACGCACCCGAGGAAGAAGCCTCGCAAGGAGGACAACTCTTTCGGAGTCTCATGGCGCGGGCCCAGGAACGAGCAGCGCAACAACAGATTATCCTGCAACAGCAACAGCAGTACATGCAACCACAACAGCAACAGCAAACCAACGCCGATATTCAAATCCCCGCCAATGCCATGGACTTATCCGTGGAAGACCAGGCACGACTCTTTCGAGAGATCACGGCACTGCGACAGCAAGGGCAGCAACAGCAACAGCAATTCCAACAACAGCAATTCCAACAACAACAAGAACACCCAGCGTTGTCGTCGTCCTACGCAAAAATCCAAATGCCAACCTATCCATATGCCAATCCACCAAATCCGGAACAAAAGAATTTCTTGCCACCAGGCATTGGATTCGACGGACGCAAAATTGGACGCAATCGCGATGCCGAAATTATCAGTACCACGGCCGATGTCTATTTTGCACAACTCAAACGAGATTCGACTACCCGCAATTTGGCACGTTATGCCGGTGACGACGATAAAGCCAATGCTGTGTTTCACGATGCTGGAATTCAAGAAATTACCGGTCCACAGGCCAATCCACATTTGGCCGATCGTCGGGCCAATCGAGATCAAGAATTTGTCGAAACGGTACCAGAGGAAATGTTGCTCTTTCAAGACTACAATGAAAAGCCAAAAGATCGATCCTATTCGGGTGTCTCGTACAAGGAACAAATCATGGCACGACGTAATAGAAGACAACAACAAGAAGGAAACTCCAACAACAAGAATCACTAGACTAGGCGAGCAAAGTTCCACAAGATGGTCGGAACGCCAAGTGGTGGTGACGGTTTTATGGAACCTATGCATTGAAATCCAACAAGGTACTATAGCCAGGACCAAGTCTGCAAGGTTTCACAGTAGTACGCAGCCAATGAACGAACCGGTCAATCACTAGTTTCTTATTATGCAAAATTGTGTCTATTCTATTACTGTCTATTGGAGGTCTGTTGGACGTTTAATGGTTCACGGGACATATATATTTGAGGCTCGGTGGGTTGTGGAATGATGTATGTGTACAGTTAGTTCTTGAAGTCGTTCAAGCGAGCATCCTCGCAGATGGTTGCCACTGTTTCATCCACATACTTGAGGAGTTGTTGCTTGGGCAAAGGGGAATCAACCCATGCAGCTCCCGACAGGATCGCTAGCTTCTTGGAAGTTGTGGTATCCAAGACATTGCGAACAATGCCTCGAAGCACACAGGTCAATGCATACGGGAGGGGATAAATGATGGCTCTGTGCATGCGCTCTGGGAACTTGCTGAGCATCAGTTGACATGTGTCTTCAATGAATGGCATAATGTTGAAGACCTTGGGGTTGGCCCAGCCAGCTCCAGCTCGGAGATCCATGAGGATGGTGACTTGCTCCTCAGATTCACGGCCAAGCTTTCGATCCAGGTAAAGAAAGATGGCCAATGTGTATGTCTTGAGGCTGCAGATGCTTTTGTCCAGTTGTGCTGGGAGAAAGTGGAGGACTCGATGACCATCAAGGTCACAGGCTTCTTTACCATTGTCCATGGTGTGGACACGGACAATACGTGGCAATGGTGTATCCCCAGCAACATTGTGGGCTTGCTTGGCAGCCTCAGAGGCTACCATCCAATCATAGTAGTCCTGTCCATGTTCAGCAATAAGGTTTTCATAGAGGCGTTCAAGTTGACATTGAGTGCCTTGGTGTTCATTTCTGGCTTTCAAGTATCCTTGCAATTGCTCCATGGCTTTGCTCTCATTGCCATTGTTGGCGGCTAGAAACCGTTTTCGTTCAGAAGATGTTTGCTCTTCCATTGACTCGTCGATGGAGGCCAGACTGCCGCTGTCTCCCACTGTTCTTGAGCAAGCGACATTTTCAAGTGGTTGAAGAAAACCACGCCAGGATCGTTCAGCAAGGTTGGGCTTGATGACGATAGGAGTGTCTGGTTTGATAACCACAGGCACAGGAGCTTCATCTGCCTTTTGTGGGGTTGTGTCCTTTTGCTGCTTGGATTTGGTTCCAAAGATACGCCTAGGAGAGAGCTTTCGTACAATTTTGGGTGCCTTCATCGTTGAGGTTGGCTTCTGTACTATTGTTTGGTGCGTTTGTGTTTTGGTTGTTGCTGGAATTGTGACCACAAAAAAGTGCAAGCTAGCTGCTGTAGCAGTGGCAATGCTGTGATAAGACACCAGTACCGGTATCTGCTGAACCGATGAAATAAGATGAGTGAATACACAGTTTGCATGGAGCAGTGCTTTCGGGTTGATCATGATACCGTTAAGAGCTCCGTTAGTCGCTGAAAAACAGGCCTGCCGTCTTGGATCTTTGATTGAACGCCTTCCACGTTCCGCTTCGTGCACCTCAATAAGACCACCCTCATCAGCCTGCACAGCAGATCCTACGGTACCGAGCTCCTCCGTACCGGTACGCACACCCAGTGGAAAATCTATGCAGCCTGAATGAATTGGTACAGGTGCCACGTGTCTTTGGTTTCCAACAAAGGCAAACTTTGGGACGGACCCGTAGCCAGTGAAAATGTAAAGAGACAAGTGAGAGTTAGTCGTCGTTGGTCTTGCAAGGGCGGCAAGTCAACGAAAATTTCAAAGGCACCGCCCGTTCGCTCGTTGTGTGAAAATAAAGCAGTCTAGCCATGACGGTATTGGAGGAAAAGTAGTACTATACAATTTACAGAAAAACTAATAACTGGTGCCGCTCAGCGGAATCCTCATGCGGCGAAAGATAGTACGAAACCTGCCTGTACTTCTCTAGCTTTACCGGTACCATAGGTGATAGCAGCCTAAGCACAACCGAGAGCAAAGCCAGCAAAATGCACCGCGAAACCTTGAACCACGCGAGAAACGAAACAGAGAATCTACACATAGCAAACGCGATGAACAAGCAAACCCGGCTGCTAGCTAGCCAGCGAGTAGCAACACACGACATGTCGCCTGACTCTTGTCTGAAGTGGACTGCCAGACTAACTAACATGCGTGCAGAAGTGGATGTGCACATTGAGCGGAACTTGTATTCGTCTATTTAGTTTATGTTTTTGTAAGGATCTATCTATTGTGATGTAATACTAGTACATTCATCTGGCCTGGCTGGCATAGGGCGTTCGTTTGCTGTCTGTCAGCCACTCTGTCACTCCAATCAAATGGTGAAGGCTTCTAGACGTTCACGTTCACAGATCAATGCCACCTTTTCATCTACATGAAGGAAAAGTTTCTGTCTGGGCATTGGCGCATCAACTCCTGTTTGTCCCGACAAAATTGCTAGCTTTTGGACTGTCTTGGCATCCAAAACACTGCTGACAATGCTTTGGAGTGTCCATGTCAAAGCGTAGGGAAGTGGATAAATGATTGTCTTGTGCATGCGTTCTGGAAACATGGAAATCAAAATGCTACATGTCTCTTCAATGAATGGCATCAGATTGAATGCTTTGGGATTGGCCCAGCCGGCTCCTCCGCGGACATCCAACAGAACGGTAAGCGTTTCCACAGATTCACGGCTGACTTTCCGGTCCAGGTACAAGGCAATGGCAAGTGCATACGTTTTGAGGCTGAAGAGGGCAGGGTCTATTTGGGCAGGGAGCACATGAAGGATCCTGTGGCCCTCGAGATCACAAGCCTCCTTGCCATCTTCCATGATATGAGTACGCATTATCCTTGGCAACATTGCAGAACTTTTGTCCTCATTATAGGCTTCTTTGGCAGTCTCAGAGGCAATCACCCAGTCATAATAGTCCCTTCCATGGCTATCAATCAGGCTTTGATACGAGACTTCTAGTTGCAGCTGAGTGCCCTGAAATTCATCTCTGGCTTCCAAATATGCCTGTAATTGGGCCATGGCTTTTTCCTCATTTCCATTGTTAGCCGTCAGGAATCGTTTTCGTTCTGCAAATGTCATCATTTCCTCCACAGACTCGTCCAAAGAGGAGGAAGTGCTGTCATCATCATTGTGGTTGTTGTCTACTGATGATAGAAAGGTACCACGCCAGGATCTTTCGGATGCGCCTGGTGTAATCACAACGGGTGTGACAGTTCGTGCAACTCTAGCAGCTTTCATGATTTGCTTTGAATATTACTGTTTGGGGTGGTGGTTATTGTTTGTTGTTTGTTTGTGTTTGGTTTGGTTTGGTTTGGTTTGTGAGCAGCCTGGAAGCAGAGCTCTATTTTCAAAAGTCTTAGTGTTAACCAGCTTCATGTACCGTTGCGGTCGGGACCAGCTACGGACTGGTGTGCCTGCTGGTTCTTGTGCCGTTCTCCCCTTCCTGCATGAGAACAGAAAGTTGAAGTGCCCCTCCCAAAGAACCCGAAGGTCGTGTATTAGCTCTATCGGCTTGAAACTTGAAACTCTTGAAGATTGGCATGCCGATCTTTGAGCTGCCAAAAGGCCAACAACACAACCAACGCATAAAACCAGCAGCTACTGGTAGACGTCGTCACTTGCTGGGGTTGTGGATCCAAAAAGAGCACCGAGCGTGTGGATTCGATTCATTGTTATTCAACATACAGTATAGTATACTGTATCAAGATGTTGGCGGCAACACCACGAGAGCAACGGTGCTTCCTCCCAATGATGAAGCCCTCTGGTATGCAGGGTATTCTCTTGTTAATCTCGATACTGATCCTCATCAGTGCCAACACGAGTACGGCCTTTGTGCCGTTTCTACAACAATCCAACCGCAACAGCAGCTCTTCGTTGGGTTTCTTTGGCCGCTTTCGTCGAAATAATAATAACCAACGACACTTCGACGACAATTTTGATTATTCCACCATTTCCACCGAGCTACCGCCTCATCTCACATCGATTCCCGCCATTCAAGAATTGGAAGACGTGTTTGACGACGACACGAATAATTATGTCTGCCAACACGGCTGGATGGATTCGGTGGAAAAAGACGGTGCCAGATTGCATTATCGACGCTTTCTACCCAAAGAGGACGGAACTGAACCGAGGGGTATCATTGTGTGGATGCACGGGATTCAAGGATTTGGTGGTGGTGCTCATATTGTGGATCATGGCAATACTACCGTCACGAAGACCAACATGGCGTTCATTGCCGACCGTTTTGTGGGTGAAAAGAACTATGCCGTGTATTCCTTGGATCTCTACGGACATGGGTATTCCGAGGGACGACGGCATTTCGTCACGTCATGGCAAAACAATCTGCAAGATTATACCAATTTTCTAAAACATGTCGCCTCGCTGCACGACAATGAGGATGATGCCACTGATGTACCACTGTTTTGTGCGGGAGAATCCTACGGTGGATGTCTGACGTTGCACTTGGCGGCACAACAAGAAGAGAAAGAGGCTCTTCCGCCACAACTCGACAGCATCTTATTGTTGGCTCCGGCCGTTATTGCGGCAGATCTACCACCCGCTCCCGTCACGTTTATTTTAAAACAAATTCTGGCTCGATTGGCGCCCCGTTGGCAACCCTTTTTCATGCCCCATCCCGTGTCACCGGAAAATGTATGGCGCGATGAAACCCTCCGACAACGCAACCTCGATCGAACGCCCGAACCGTACATTGGCGGATCCGGGACGCAGTTTCGATTGGGAACCGCCGTGCAACTATTGGATGCACTGGATGCGTGCCGCGACACGGCCATTCCGGCGTTGAAAACGACACCCTTTTGTGTCGTGCACGGAGACAATGACCGGGCTGTTCCCATTGATGGGACCAATTATCTGGACGAGCATGCTCCCGTAAAAGAGCGGGCGGTGCGTCGAGAACCAGGAGCCTATCATGACTTGTTGGCGGATCCTGCCAAAGATAATGTGGTGGAATTTTTGCTCGAATGGACCGAAGGACGCATTGCAAAACGTGCAGCAAGAGTCAGCAGCAACTAGCCAGCTATCATAGTAGGAGATACCGTACTTTCTCCCACAACGAGCAAACCTCCAGAGGGGATCAATGCATCGTCGACATTATTTTGAGCTGGCTGACAAGACTGCACCTTGATTAGTGAAGAAGCACAGTAAAAACTAAGAAGTCAAGAGACGTGGAATTGCTGTACTGTACGATGTAGAAATCTCGACAAACATCATGCATGCAGTACCGTGCTAGTACGTTGTGGTGAATTGGCCTGTCGCATCCCTAGAGCTAGCTAGGAGTGGCTGCTCTCAAGGTTTGGGGTCATGATCTTCCCTTGCAACAGAGGGCACGGCTGAGTTGCTCAGGAAGGATATTTCATTCGTGAGCTCGGTACTGGTACGAATGAAGCGATTGAAGATTCGATTCTGATTCGTTGAGCGGGACCAAAGATCTTTCTCCTTTTTGTTGCTGCTTGGAACAGGCCCGGTCGAGTTCAGAGACCTTTTGTTTGTGCAATAATGACAATGAAAGCAATGGACTATGGGTCGACTGCGGCAGCAGTGGCAGCTTCAATCGGCGCCTTGGCAGCTTTGCGGATCTATCAATCCTTTCGGGAAGATTCCAGGCTATACAAGGATTTGCTAAAAACCCAGCTCGATTGCGACGATACGAACCTGCTCGGATGGAACTCCCATTCAACTGCAATATTCCATCCAAGAACCTTCGATTGACAACGATGGCGACAATGTTCCCGTAGTAGTTGTGTTGCATGCCTCTGGTGGAGGGCACGATCAAGGTCTCCTCTTGGCAACCAAGTTGCTGCCACCCAATCGGTATCGAATCATTTCCATTTCCTGGTCGGGATACCTCCAGAGTACGGCCGTGTCATCGGTGCAGGAACAATGTGAGGACTTGCAGCTGCTCTTGCAAGAAACTCTTGGTATACCCAAGATTTCTCTGCTGTTGGGCATGTCGGTGGGTAGCGTCATGACACTCCAGTTTGCGAGTCTTTATCCACAACTGGTGGAATCCATCGTCGTGTTATCACCCTGGATTCCCTATGCGGGCGATGACGAAAACTCTCCTCAAAAACCTTGTCTGCCCGCTCCACCTCAATGGGTATTGAACGTATTTTTTGGTTCCGAATTTGTCAAGTGGTCATCCATCCGGGTTGGATTTGGAAATTCCATGTGTGGTGTCACCCCCGCCACCTCGAATGAAGCCAAACAGTTGGTCAGTGTATTTCTGGACACGCTTTTTCCCGTATCGGACCGGTTTCAAGGCTTTTGTTTGGATGTCCAATCCGCCATGTCCCTGCGCCTCACCGCCCAAGAGTTGTCCAAGATTACGGCATCCATTCTGTACGTGGCGGCCGAGGATGATCCACAATGCAAGATCTATGAGAACCAGCTTCCTGCCTCCATGGTCAACTCCAACCAAGTCACCATCATGACACGTCCCACTGGTGGACACATCATGGTGGCCGACTACCAGAAAACGCAGCAAGATATTCAAGTATTTCTAGACAAAAAGTCACAGTGACGGTAGCAAAGAGTACAAAAGGAGAGAAATAATTGGATAGTTTTAAAACTTGTCAAGGTGCTTACAAATGAGATATTAGAGTGCGCCGAGCCTTAAAAAGACGAGAGTGTATCCTTCCTTGTTCCTTGCCATTAGACTACCACCACCAAAAGTTTTGTGCCTTCTCTGTGCACAGTGCAGTCCGCCAACATCCCTGACTTTGTAGTTAGACTAGTTTGCAATACTAGCTTTCATCACCAGAATGCAGCGTGGAATCAGTAGATTGATGCCCAATGGGGACTTGTTTGTTTGTTTGCTTGGGGTCATCTCTATTTATGCCATTTCGGCACTTTCACTGGGCTGCAGTTCACTGTGGTCAGACTCAAACGATTGTGTGGGGGCTGCCAAATTGGCTCCATCGGCATCCTGCAACTGTCCATCGGACGATTTGGTCGGTTCAATGGTGTGTGTTTCGGCATGTAGACGCCAACGCCTCTGCAGGACCAGCAAGGCGGTTCCAATCATACCAAGTGCCACCACCACACAGAGCACTGTCACGGCAATTCCGGCAGCACCCAGTTCTTTGGTTTCAGTTTTGTTGGCAACCGACTGGATGTTGTTGGAGTTTTGGTCGAGAGGATAATAACCTTCGGTTGGTTCGGAGCCTTCGACGAATTGGCAGTGCTGCAAAACAATAACATGATAGTTAGTATGATGGAAAAGGAACGATCCAATGCGTTTTGATTGATTCCACTGACGTACCTGCCCAGTGTAACCCTTGGAACATTCACAACCCACGTGGTTGTCGCCATTATCCTCCAAGAATCCCATACATGTTCCTCCATTGGCACAAAATCCTACGGTAGATAGCTCTCCCGTGAGTGTACAAAACACAGTGGCTTCATGTTGGCAATAGAGTCCGGTGAACACTTTGAAACCGGCCAGTTCACCTTCGTCACAATCACAAAAGTATTGACCTTCCTTCAACGCATTCTCGATACACAGGGAACCATTTTCACAGCTGTGGCCGTCGGGACAGACCGTCACCAGGTCCTCTGGAGTGTTGGTGGCGTCATTAAGATTATTCTTGGAGCTGCTACTGGTACTAGTAGGGTCTGCCATGGTTGTCTTCTTTTTCTTTTGTTTGGAAACTTCGGTGTTTTGCACAGAACCCCATCAAGCCAAAACATTGTTCGTCGCGTGATTCAAAATTCGAAAAAAATGGTGGCATCTCTAACGGCTCTCCCCGGGGGATACTCTCGGCATTGGCAGTCTCACAAAAACAAAAAGATCTACTCAGTACTACTAGTAGCTAGCTAGCTCTAGACTGGCCAGTACCATGATGGTATCAGATGTGGGATTACTAGAGTAGATCGAAGAATCGAATCGAATCGAATCGGATTGAAGGGTTCTTTGCATCCCACTTGTCATTGGACAGGCACTCTTGGCCTCTTGGCAAAGGACCCTTCCACATGGTGCACCTTTTGGTCTTCCATGCGAAGTATCATTTCATCAGGCTGTTCATCAACATGGCAGATCGATCGCCAACTTTAGAAAACGCTTGGCAAGGGAAAACACCATCTATGGCGCACCTTTTGGTCTTCAATGGGAAATCTCAGTTCATCACCATGGCAGATCGATCGCCAACTGTGACCATTGGAGACCATCCTTGGCGCACCTTTTCGTCTTCCATGCGAAATGTATGTTTTGTCATCACGACCGTCTTGAACAGCTGGCTAATTTCTATAGCTACTCGGGTAGGCTACAAGCTGTCTTCCGTTTGGGACGGTACTGGTAGTAGCCAGGCCTTTCCACGAGTTGGCTACTAGGTGGCTGCCCGACCCCGCTGCCGGAGCGGAAGATGGGTACTGGTAGGTAAAGTGGTACCAGTACTGGTAGCAGGCAGTCGGCAATTGGCGCCTCTACGCACCGATACCCCGGGGTACCTTCCTTACCTATGACAGAATGGAAGTGCAGCATTCCTTTCTTCAAGTGCGACGGGTGAGAGTTGTTCCTCGTTCTACTGAACCATTCACAAGTACAGTTGTCATTGGTGGCCAGCAGTAGCTGCAGCAGCAGGCAGCCTTTTGACAAGACAGCCTGCGCAAACCAGGAGGCAACGTCCGCATGCTTAGTAAAGAGCTTTCCACGAGACATACCGTAGTATACTAACAAAATCTTTTGATTATTTGGAATGCATTATAAACGGGGTACTCGAAGTTCTCATGTGTTTGAGTGCGAATGAGTGATGATGTTGTGGCTTGGGTATGGGGAGCAAACTATGTGAAGGATACAGGAGCATTGAGTAGCCATTATAACCTCATGCAAACAGAATCGCTTGAAAGCGCCTTGTAGCCACAAAACTGAAGCTAGAATGAATTCGAATCCTTTTCGTAATCATCATCGTCGTCTGTTTCATCGTAGCTGTTGCCACCAAACACCAAACAGGAGACGTCTCCTTTGAGTTCCTTGAATTCCAGCGCCTCGGCAAGACTTTTGAAGTCTTGGGGCAATCCCAGCTTTCCTAGCACAACTGATAACATCTCTCCAGCTTCATGCATCATCGCACCTACATTGCCCTCATTGGGGTGCACCTCAATCTCTCTGATGGGCACATCGTCATCTTCCAGGGAACTGGATGTCTTGGATTGCTTGCCGTATCGGTACCGGCTTTTGACCGGTTCCCCACTGACCGTCTTGTTGTATCGGTCCATGATACCCCAACCTTTGGCTTCATCTTCTGCTACTTCTGCTCCTGTCATATTGGTGGTTGCTGTAGGGACTCCTCTTCGGTGATATTCGTCAAGTCTTTGCAGATAATGGCTTCCTACCTCCGCTTCAAACGATTATGAGTGTTTGGATCTTGTTGGCAAAACGTTTTGAACTTCCTTGCTTGATGTCCGTTGTTGCGGACAAGAGAAGATGATCGAGAGAAGAAGCCAAATTTTGAAGATGGGGCCAAAATTTCATCCGTTTTGCGTTTGATCCCAAAGAATTGTTCGGTCACGTGTAGCTGTTTTTCTTTGTTATCCTTTCTGTCCAAAGATTGTTTCGGGGGTATTCTTTTTCAAGCAGGAATTAAGTAAGTGAAGAAGGCCTTGAGACTGGCTCTTATAAGATTTAAAGTGCGAGACTCTGCCGTTGAGCGTAGAGAAATTTGAAAAAAAAGCTTCTGTAATACTAACTCCTTTAGAATTTGCAAAAATGCTTCCCTCCCCACAACAAGATTCACGCGGAAGAAAATCAAAAAAATGTGGCTTCAAGATCCAACGTCTACATCTATCTGGCTCGAGCCTCCAGCAGACCTCAAGAGCTAGGTTTCATGCTACCTTGCCTGTTTGGTGGAGGAATGCGACAGCAAACACGTGGGGCCAATCCCCTTCCATCCAAGAGCAACTGAGCAAGACGGCGATCATCATTCGCGAAAAATATTTTCCTTGAAAGAATCCAACTCCGATGCAGGCTCACAATTCTCGTTGTGCATCTGTCTTTATTGGATCTGGCTTGTGTATTCATTTTGTTGCGTTGTATTATAGTATTGGATTAGGCCCATTACATCGCAAGACTGTAGCTACTTTTTGAAACAAGCTTGTACAAAGCAAAGCAAAGCAAAGCAAAGCAAAGCAAAGCAAAACAGAATGAATACGACTCCTTTTCCCGAAGACAGTATGCACAACATGATCATTACTCCCGATGAGCACCCCGGCCACCACTTTCGTCGTGCCAGCCGCCTTCCTCGAGCCCCGCACCACAATTCCCGCCAATCGGTATCCATGCGAGACTTGACCTCCGCCAGCAGCATGATCTCCGAGGACAGCAGCAGCACAATGAGCAGCGATGATGCCCCCTCGACCCCTCCGACAACCCGGAGAGGAATGTTCACGTCCCCTCCCGAGGTGCCTCGTCATGGTCGTCCCATCAATCGGCGGCTCTTTCTCCAAGAAGCACAGGAACGATTGTCACTCCCGGACCTGTTTGCGCCTCGTCCCACCCCCAACAATGCTCTCCCCCGCAGGACTCGCATGATGCAACAGCGTCATGTACGTTGTCGGCCCTCGATTGTGGAACTCCAGCCTCGAACAGTGTCCTTTTGCGATTCCTTTGAGGATCATGAAATGGAACACATCGGGCAGGGGCACAGAATGTCTCTAAGGTCGATCTATGGCACCAATCCAGCCGAGTTTTAAAAGGAGAGCAAGGCAAGAGGAGGGGTCGAAGATCACACACACTACCAGCCATGAAGCCTCGTCCATTCTTTGTACTGTTCATTCCCTCAAGAACTGCATTCCTCCAATCCCTTGTCGCTCTCCTCTCAACAAAAAGCTGGTACATCGATGTTGTCGGTAGACAAATTTTGGGTTGGCTAGAGATGACCGACTGAGAGAGTTCGAGAGAGAGCAATGCTGAAACATTTACATGCTACATATATCGCTATATAAACCACCTATTCATAGAGCAAATTTCCAAAGAGTTTCCTTCTTGCTTGTTTGTAACAGTTTGCAATCAGTCTTTCTCATTTATCATGTCCTGGCAGCCATCTGGCAAACATTGCAAAGGCTCTTGGTGGGATGCCGTCCAGCTCAGCACTCTGATCATTCAGGAGCCCAGGAAGAAGCAGACAATCCAGAAACCTTTCTGTGATCTGGCTATTAGTCTACTCAGTAAGCTACCGGTATCACCCCAACACATGCATGTCTTGCTGAGCTTCTTGCTGGGTCTTTTGACTAGACCGAAAATGGATGCTCTACGTACGTATCGTACCATAGCCATCCATCATCGTGATGGGTATCACCTTGATACCGCACATGCACGGTATCTTGTAAATGAAGCTCCGAATCGTACCGTACTACGTGTACAGTACGGTAGCTAGCCAGCAGCAGCTGTCCGAGAGGACTCCGAGTCCGAGAGGTTCCGATCCCTGCGCAGCTGCAAGACCATAAGCTCAGGAAGGTTAGGGTTTGGTCCGCGACTCCCAAAAGTGTTGAACCATTTTCTCAAGGTGACCTGGTGGTTAAACAAAGAGTTCCGAAAAAGTACCAGTATAGTTCGAAAGGCAACTGTCTGTTAACTAAAAAGGTCAATCGAAAGAGAACACATACTAGTAGTCACTATTAATAGTACTTTTCACACGCCACAAGCGATTGTTGAACTTGTGTGCAGCTTTGCAAGACCACTTGTACTTGTGATCGTTGAAACCAACTTTAAAACTCGAGAGGCAACGCAACAGGCACTATTCATTCGAAGTTGCTTGGCAAGGGTATCCTCGTTGCCTCATGTCCAGTCGTACAGGCATTCACAGATCAAGCTTTAGATTACAAACGACCACAACAGCTCTAGCTAGATCTAGTAGCAATCAGAGGAGGTCCACAAGAGAGCTCCACTGTTAAGGCAACAGTTTATATCAACAGGAATACGAAGAAGAAGACAAGGCATCAGCACCATGGGTTTGTTACGAACATTGTAAGTGCTTCCAACGGGGTTCTCTTTCTTTTCATCCCACTACTATGATACTAACAATCCATGTTGATTGATTTCCACAACACAACACTATACAAACAGATCGTCGTCGAATCCTCCCTTTTTTGGTCGAGGCTTGGGTCGACCGCGTCGGCATCACTCAGCGGGTGCGGAACGACGTCCGTCGGAAATGAATATCATGGGCAACGATGGCGTAGTGAGTGCGGAATACACTTTGAAAACCATCAAACAGGCGCAATCCAATCCACGCTTGACCAAACTGGAATTGGAAGATGTCATTACCCGACAAGACAAGGATTCCACATCCATCTATGAGGCCATTCAGACCTTGTTGGATCAAGAGCGGGAATGGATCTATATTAAATTCGTGGATTCCATGACGTTGCGAGAGGGAGGAGATTCCGCTGCCACATTGTTGGAGCACTATAAGAATCATCGGCTCGGTATGTGGGATACCATTCGACAACACACACACGACAAACCCATCATGTTCCAGGTCAAACTCGAAGTGGCGTCCGGGACACCCATTACACTCGTGTCGGACATGTTGACGGTACTGCAACAACTCGATAGTTTGACCAGTATCGATTTTGGAGGAGGTTTGTATGGAGTCCGAAAACCCGATGTCCCCGATCAATTGGCGTTACTCTGTCATGGCAATAACATGTGTTTGCCCGAAATGATCATGTTGTCCCTCTCGTGTACCCCTCCGGACGCCGCGCCCATTAATAATGCCGCCGGTCTGTTGCACGAGTGTGCTCGGAAACTGACACAGCAACGGCGAAGTGATGACAGTACCAGTGAAGAAGAAGAAGAAGAAGAAGATGTATCTCCCAAACGCATTCGGCGCAAGAGCGCTAAAAAAGGAGACAACACCAATAAAACAATGGACGAATCTTTGACGATGATTGACATTCTCGTCGATTCTACCAAAAAGCAACGATTGAACGACGACAGTGACAAGAGTACGAACAATACATCCCCTACCCGCCGTCGTCGCCGATCTCCCAGGGTTCCCCGACGTCAACGCCGCCATCTCAGCAATAGTGAACGCGCACCAGATCCCGCCGATTACAATTGGACTCGACGACGGCACAGTCGACGTCACAGTTCGTCCAACAACAGCAAACAACAACAATTGCACAATAGCGCTCCAGCACTGCATTACAAACACTCTAGCAGCAGCACTACGAAAACAGCAACCAAGATACAACCCGACTTTCGATGGGACAAGTTGCATCAAAATGGTCCGGTCATGGATGCCAGTACGCCGCAACAACCACGACGCAGATCGTCCACCCGATCGTCCACCCGAAATTCCTTGCGACGTACGGCCACATATTCGTAAAGAGGTCCTGGTCTCTTTCTTTCTTTTGTTCTTGGCTGCCGCACTACTTAGCCAGTAACTATCTACTTGCGATACACTAACTGTATTGATTCATGCTTTTTAAATACACTCTGTGTTTATTCAATAAGGTTATGGTCGCTTTGGTATCTAGCTAGGTAGCTGGGTAGCTAGCTAGCTAGAAATGAGGTTTTCTACAGTGCAGTACGAGCTTTTACTGCAGATAATATATAATATCTGATGTACAACAACGCTTGCCTTCCAAGGCTCCTTCACCAAAGACAGGCGTCCCGTCACTTTCTTTGATTTGATTGATTGCTGGAAACCAAACGATTGATTGAGCCTTCACCAAACGGTAAAGCTAGCTAGCATAGCATCCCACGGGTGGTACGGTATGCATGGATACAAAGACGAAAACCTTGTGGGGATTCCTGCGCTGCTCTACGAAGTGTTTTAGCCGAGCAAGCAAGCAACTACCATAACGAAGCTACCAGTCAACAATCAGCCAGGCAAACAAAGCACTATACAAACCGAGTAACTTGCTTTGGCAAAGGCCCTTTGAATCGGTTACGTTTCGATGGTCTTGACACACCATCATGTATTCTCCCTGGGTCCAAATTGGGTCCAAATTGGGAATGGGAAATCGCAACCCCTGAGACTTGGCTCGCAAACTGTAAAAGCAGCAGGACATGCCCTCCTATTATCCATACCATGGTTGCCCACAATTAATTGAAACACAATGGAATGGACTCGACTCGACTCGAGCTGGCTGGCAATTGCATGGCGGATCTTGCGTTGGCGAACGCACGCAGGATCAATGAAATAATAAGCCAACAAATAGCTTGCTTATCGTTTTATCCCTCCACAACATTCACCGTCTCTCTCCGTTTGGCCTGAATTTGTTGGGTACAACCATCTGCTTCTTCCAATGCTTTGGCAAGTTCTGCTGTCCCTGGTTTCAAGTGATACCGTTTGAACTGATAGAATTTCATCCCCTTTCCTTGTGCTTCATTGTCTTTCATGGTCTTGGCGGAAACACTGTCCTCCGCAAAACACGCTTGTTCATACTCGCTTCGCGGCAGACGAATCATTTCCTGAATTGCCTCGGCGGCCGCTTCCACTCGTGTGGCCTTTTCGTGTTCCATGACAATGGGAACAAATACAAATTTGTCATCTTTTCGAAACCATTGCATTTGTTTTTTGGAGTACCGTCGTGTCGCCGTGGTGAATTGATTCAAGTATTCTTGAAATGCATCTTCATCGTCATCCTTGGCTCCTTCTCGTTGCAGATATTCGAGGGTTTGTCGATATCCAATGGCTCGTGCGGCCATGTCGGGCAATTGTCCTGCCAATTGTAGATTGGTGGTTTCTCGTAAGAGTCCCCTTGTGATCATGGCTTCGCATCGTTCATCAACCAGTGTGGTATGCGCCATGCGGTCGTCAGGGCAGAGAAAGAAACAACGGACGTCGTACCCGTACGATTCGAGACTATTCTCTCGCTGACCTGTAAACAGTTTTTCAATCAGGTCGTCTTGTTGTTGTTGTTGCTGTTGCTGTTGGTTGTCGTCAGATTGTTGTTCTTGTACCGTCAATGCAATTTCCAAAGTTCTCCGTAACCGATACCAATCGCGACCACAGAGGGTGGTGATGCGCTGTGCAAAAATGGGTCCTTGAGATTGCACATGTTGTACGGCCCCGTCCCAATCCTCTTGTTGTTGAAATGGTGTCATGATCTCGTGGGCTTTTTGCACGGCCTGTGGACTGGGTTTGGCGGCATCCGGTCGACCATGGACTAACCATTGCAAGTACATCATGGTTCCTCCCACCACGACGGGAAGGACGGGTTCTGCATCCGGATATCCCTTGAGGCGTTTGGCATCTAGAATGGTTTGATTTATCATTTCTTGGCGTTGTTGGGTAGCTTTGTGGACTGTTTCAGTCTCATCATCATCATTCGTAGTAGTAGTTTGCAACAACAATAGTTTGGCAATGACATGGAGGGCATCTCGTTGCCATTCTGCGGCATTGTAGTTGGTATCCTGATTGTCGACGACATCTACCAGCATATGTGGTGTTTCTCGTCGCTCTTCCGGGGTTGGTTTGTTGGCACCAATCTCGACGCCTTGGTAGGCTTGGACGGAATCGGCCGAAACAATCAGTCCTCGATGATTGGCACAAATTCGAGCCGCCACATCACTCTTGCCCACAGCAGTCGGTCCTGTCAACACCACTACCAGATTATTCTTGTTAGTAGTAGTGGTGGGTTTATCGTTACTCTTTGACTTGTTGTCGTTATCTTGTGAAGAAGAAGACGAACTCATGGTTCGTATCAACAATAGTGATCTTTCTACTAGGAGTAGCGACGGAAGTCGAGTCCAAACTCTGGGTGTAGATGAGGAAGCAAAGCCAGCGACAGAAGGGACGCGATGAAGCCAAGAAGAGCCAACCAACCAAGACATGCAGCAGACGTTGAACAGAGAGTGTGGTCGCTTTCGTTGCTTATCAGTGGCCTTCATTACATGTTATTGAAACAGACATAAGACAAATCGTGTCTCTGTTCCGATACTGAGAGTAAAATAAGATTTTTTCTCTCGTCATATTGGGAGTTACTATGGCTTTGGATCTTGGTGGATGGTGATGGGTTGTACTGTACTGTAATGTTGTCATGAGTGGCTGCAGGGAAGAAAGAAGAATGAGCAATTGGGGTCTGGCCGTCACATTCTCAATCTCAGAGCAATAATAATAATATTGCAACAACAACAGATGGATGACATTTAAGTCAGCGGGAGCTGCGATACCTCGGCAGAAAGACTGATAGAAGAAGGATGACATGTTTGAGATTGCACCCTTCTTTCAAGGTGGCCCTGGCGACAACACCCGACTTCGTCGTGTGTTGCCGCCCGGTATCATTCCCTCATTATAACCTTCTTTTTTATTTAAGCTAGCCCTGGCGACAACACCCGACTTCGTCGTGTGTTGCCGCCCGCTTACCATAATTTTACAGCTGTCACTCCCGTATGTACCTGTAACTTTTGTAGCTTCTGCTGGCTTATTGTGTTGAGTGAACTAACCTTGAATAATCATGATTTATTCCTACCCCCGGATTTGTAGAACCTTCAATTTCCAGTTTTGTTGGCTTACGCCTATCTCTATCCCTAAATTTTGGCTTCACCGGAACAGGAAACAGGAAACAGGAAATACCAAAAAAGGGGGTGAGGGCTCAGGCAGATAGACTGCCGAGGTATTTACATGATACATATGCATACATGTACTGGGCATGTAGATATTCTTCAATCTAGCTATTAATAGTTGGATGCTGCCTAACGGGGGTTTAGAGGAGGTAGATTATCTAGTACGGTTGCCTACCTTTGTAGTATACCCGTACCCAACTACCGGTAGCTAGCTACCAGGAGCTGTTGTTAGCATGAGCAGCCGATGGGACACCTTGAAGCCAAACAGTGACACGAAGAGACAAGGTAGCAGCAGTAATGGTGGCTATGACAAACAGCGCAACCAGAGGCGAAATAATAATACATACACACATGTTGTCTTGTCAGATAGCTACTAGTACATGCAGCGATCATGGCATATCAGGGAATGTGGGATCAATCCTCTCTCCATCAGACGGCAAAACACATCAAGAGCTGCTTTGCATGCAATGCGGCAATTGCCTTTCTCTGCGCACCTCGATAGCCTGGTAAGGTCCTGTTCCTCCACCACTCCACATTGACATTTTTCAATTCAATGCAACGACGATGCCCCAGGATCAATCCCCACCAAGGCAATCCCTGCGGCAATCATGACAATTCCCAACCACCCTCGTCGCGTGAGTCGTTCTCCCAGCCATACGGCACCCAAGAGAGTGCCAATGACCACACTGCCACCGATAACGGTAGGAATGCTCTTGGAGGCAGGCACTCCCAGACTGCTAATGATAAAGGACAAGATTTCGGCCGCTCCCACGGCCGCCCCCGCCGCAATGGCCCATGTTACTCCGATGCGACTGAGTTGGAGAGTAGCGCCGTCTTTTTTCAGCTGTTGGACGCCCAACAAGGTCGCTCCCAGTGCCGCTGCTACAATTTGGAGTAGGACACCTCCCAAAATGGGATCCATGGACGAGGACGCCTTTTTGATAAATAGATTGTAGAGCGCATAGGCGAGGGCACAAGCGAGTGCTGGACCCAACCAAACCGACAAGGCAGGATTGGTGGTTGTTAGGAGGACGGTGGCGCCACCGCGGAGTCGAGTGGTCGTGGGACGAACCCAGCTTTTTGGGGCAGTGATCTTCGTGGTGTGGCTGGATCGTTTGTTGAAAGGAGGAAGGATTCTCCATCGCCTCTGTCCGTGTTCTTTGGATGGCTGATCTTGAAGAGTACCATCTGCCAGAGGCGCAGCAGCACACGTTCTTCGGTCAAAGGGCGCTGGATAGGGGTTGAGACGAAACGCAGCAGAGGTGGATCCAATGCTACACAAACACCAGAAAAAAAGCACGAAACGATAGGAGACGGTCCTCATTCTCTTGCAGGCTGACGGCTGCATGATGGGTACCCAATAGCTGCGAAGCAAGATGTGTTAGTGTGTTTTAGTGGCTTGGCGATGTGGTAGCAAAAAAATGAGAGAAATTGCAAAAAAGGTGCCAGGATTTGCGATCTCGGCAAAGATACAGTCACGAGGCTTTGATCACGACTGACATCATTCACCCATCAAACAGTCGCCTCCCTTTCTGCTCGCCCAACAACTTCTTTCCTAGCTAGTACCAGAATGTACTTGCTAGCTAGATCTCAATCCAAATTTTTCCATGCTCCAGCACAACTGACTGGAGCGTTCCTCAATCGTGCATAAACCGACCCTAAAATAGGGTCGGATTTAGGGTCGGGTTCCCTTTAGGGTCGGGTTTCGAAACCGACCCTAAAAATAGGGACGTTTTCTGAAAAATAGGGACGGTTTCTGAAAAACCGTCCCTAATTTAGGGTCGGGTTTCGTTTTAGGGTCGGGTTTCGTTTTAGGGTCGGGTTTGAAAAACGTCCCTAAATAGAAACGGGACTGCCTGGTAAATACATTGAAAACGCACCAATATTAGGGTCGGGTTTCGAAACCGACCCTAAAAATAGGGACGTTTTCTGAAAAATAGGGACGGTTTCTGAAAAAACGTCCCTAATTTAGGGTCGGGTTTCGTTTTTGGGTCGGGTTTTGAAACCGTCCCTAATATTTAGGGACGGTTTCAAAACCCGACCCTAAATTAGGGTTGGATTTAAAGTCATGCACGATTGAGGAACGCTCCTGCTTCTGCACCTCTTTCTTGGAGTCTTCAATAAAACCCAAGCAATTCTTTGTCAGTGGATGATCTAGTCCAAACGCTGGCTCCCGAATGGCAAGGCACTCTTCAAATTTCAACAAGGCACCAGAATAGTCACTCATAGAATACAATACACCACCGATATTTTCGTAGGTGATTGCCACATCAGGATGATTATCTCCCAATGCTGGCAATTCAATGGCAAGAGCTTCCTCAAACTTTACCAAAGCACCTTCAAAGTCAGCCATAACATACAGGACAGAACCAATATTGTTGTGGATGGCCGCCACATCAGGATGATTCTTGCCGAGTACAGACACAAAAATGGCAAGAGCTTCCTTTTGTTTTGACAGAGCACCTTCATAGTCACCCATCTCCTGCAGAACAAGCCCAATATTGTTGTACATGGTCACCACAGTCATATGATCCTTGCCCAATACTCTCAACCCAATGGCAAGAGCTTCCTCAAACTTTTCCAAAGCACCTTCATACTCACCCATCTCCTGCAGAACATTCCCAATATTGTTGTACATCTTCATCACAAAAATATTATCCTTGCCCCACACTGGCGATCCAATGGCAAGAGCTTCCTCAAATCTTGATATAGCTCCTTCATAGTCACCCATATCATCCAGAACACCAACAATGTTGCAGTAAGTGGTTGCCACTGATGGATGATTCTTGCCCAAGGCTGACGCAATCCAATGGCAAGACATTCCTCAAACTTTAACAAAGCACCTTTATAGTCACCCATCTTCTGCAGGACAGAGCCAATGTTTTGGTTGGTGGTTAATGTTTCTTCATGATTCTTGCCCAGGACAGTCTCACAAATTGTCAGAGCAGTCTGGTGGAGTTTCATGGCTGCACCATGTTCTCCATTGTGGTTAAGAATATCGCCAATTTCGTTGCAAAAATCTACATAGTCTTCATTGTTGGTGTTCTCTCTGGTCTCCACCAACTGAGTGAGGACACGTTGCATCCATCCACGCAACAAGTCATTGACTAGATTGTTGAGCACAGAGTATCCAACATCCGATTCTACTTCACCAAGAATAGCCAGCCTGTCGCTTTCCACAGATGCCTGGGCATTTTCAACTTTGGTGTTGCCGAGTGTCTCATAGAGAGCATATATGCCTTCTCCATCATCAACAACATCCTCCTCTAGAGATTCCTTCTCCTTGGGTGGCATGACAATATCCATCTTGCACCCATCTGTGCCGTGAGCGGTAAAGATCTCAAAAATGCACCAGACTCGAGTAATGTAGACAGGTGCATTCCATGGAGCCATCATGGCCAGCAAATGACCAATTTTCTTGACTCGCTCTCCAAAGATGGCAAAGAAGTCCACCTTGGCAGAAGGTGCGATCATTCCTGATTTCTGCTGAGTAGAATTTTCCACAACCCTGTGTTGATTGACACAGAGGCAGCAGATCCAGATATAGGTTCTCTTGGGATCGAGGTTGTTCTGGTGGCAAAAATCAGAAAGGGTATCCACAATATCCCCAATCGAATAAGCCCACGAATAGCTGAGCATATGCGTTGCCTCTCCGACATGGTCCTCCCCTTGGAGGCAATGGGAGTAGGCAGCACCCATCTTTCCATCCAAGGGACAAGTGGTGCGTGCTCCCTTGGTTCGGATAACTCCAGGAGAACCTGTTAGATTTTCAATTTGGTAGATTCTAGAGTCTCTAGATAGTGGATTTCCTGGCTGTTGTAGAATCTTTCGAGGTACATACTTCTTGCAGAAAATTATGCTCCAAATGATAGACACTGACTCCTTTCAGTGTATCCAGCTGCTCGTGGCTCTTTTTGGTGTCTTGGGAATGCATTTTTGTTATCTTAGAGGACACTATGTACTCGACTGTCACTCAATGGCAGAATGCAATGTGAGGTACAAGAGTGGTTACTATGGGATATTAGAGGGGACTTGGGGAGGATGATGGTCATCGTCGTTGTCGTCGTTCGCGTCGTTGACGTTTCTTGATCCTGAAATTAGAAATCGCCAACCCATCTTTTTCTCTGGGGTTGGTCTGTCAGAATTTTGCCTCAACACGGCGGCCAGTAGTTGAACATTTTGCCAGCTAGAAATTGGACTGAGACCTACATGGTCACCCCAAAATTGAGATTTGCTGGGGAGACATAAAATTTGATTGCAGCAGCCTTCGGTTTCAAGGTTGCTCCTCTTGTTGTAGAGTGTTGAAGGTGGTTATGTTGAAGAGACAAGGAGAGAGTGACTATCCCGTTGTAGCCTTGGTTGTTTCTTCCATCCTAGAGTCGATTTGGCTTGGTGTCGGCATGGTCTGCGGTTGACCACGGCATTTTACGGCTGTTGCGTTGATAGAAGTATCCGATCGCCACGGCAGAACTGGCAACAACAAGAGGCAAGGAAGTGGCAACAAGGCAGCGACCATCTCAACGGCAAGTGAGAACAAGAGGCTTACATCATATCATTGTTTCTGAGAGGAGGTCGACTGAAGTGTTGTACGAAACTTCCCACTGGGTTCACGTCTCATCGGCGCCCAGGGAAGTTGGTCTCGCAACGGTCGATCTCCAATCGGAAGGCAGGTTTGAGAGAAGCTCTGCACGGCCGACAGTACTCTTGATGACGCAAATTCCATCATATCCAACAACAACAATTCTTTCGATCCCGGTGCTGATTTCATTGCTGATTCCATTGCGACGCTCACCGCAATGAAGAAGAACAATAATTATGACATTGTCCACGCTGCGACCACTACAATTGAGTGACTTCCATCACAAAGAACATCAATTCCCACGACGCTGCTGCTCAGTCCACTGTCGACAATGAGAAAAGCAAGTTGCCTACAGCTCTTTTAGCCAATGCAACGACAGTCCTTACAGTCACAGCAGTTCGGATCATACATACGATTCTACTCTTCCAATTGCAATGACAGACAACGCCAACAACGGACACAACAAAATTATGTTTGCCGGCCATGGCAAGGCCTTGGAAAACATTTGCACTGCTGCCGACAAAACAGGAAATTACAAGGCAACGTTGGCAGCGCTGTCTCTCCACCAATATCACGCTTTGAGTCATCCGCCGACAACAAGAAAGGATTATTTCCAACTATGGAAGGACAACAGCCACTCCCGATTTTGATGGCCTTAACGGTCTCCTGCAGAATAAAGGCCGACAGAAGCAGCAACAAATTAGCTAGTTACCAACAACACATATTTTCCGCACTGGCTTGCCTATAATGTGCTCGACATGATGACATTCCGTGCCATCAATTCTGCTCCAGCAGCTTCTCTCAGGGGAGTTTATAAACTCACATCCACCAGCAATGCCATCCTGCAGAAGTCCGACAACAACACCATTCTGCAGCCTTTGGTTCTGGTTCCATAGCCTTCAACGAACAACACCATCAGTCCTCACTTGCCTTGTTTGTGTTTCGTACTATGTCATCTAGTATTGGAGGGTCTGTTCGCCTTCTTGGCAACACCATACAAACTAGGGAAGATTGTGTCAAGCCCAGCCTCAGTACTGCATCTGCCAAGACCAACTCGACAACTTGTCCAATGACGGCGACAACAAGTCCAAGTCACGCTGTAGAATGATGTGAGATTCGACAATGATGCTTCCTTTCCAGTCAACGCCAACCATGGCAACGCTACTGGTACTCCTATGTACAACCAATGCAACAGTGCTCATCACAGACGATGACAACAATTATTTTGGTTCTATTGCAACACCCGTCACAGCCAATATTAATAAGCTGGGTACGGCCAACAAACAACTCGCCAACAATGACAACAATTCCGGCCTCGATCTCACTGCCACGCCCACGCGCGACAAGCCAGTGGACGACCACAACGAGTCTACACTGGAGATTGAGCTTCTTGCCAACGGTCTCATTGACGACCACGGAAAGCATCCGACAAAAGTCGCCATGGAGCCCTCAACATCGACAACAAGAAGGTCACCTGCTACAAGCAAGAGATTGCAATGAATTATGGGAAGAAACCGACAACAACCATCGCCTTTGATTCATCTTTCGTTAACGACAAATTACTCTGTGCCGACAAAATCAACAATGACGGACAAGACGATGCCGCGAAATTACAATTTTCCTGCCGTGGAAAGATGACAACTTTCCACTCCTTTGAGTCTACTGCGGTGGCCAACACTCGAAAGAACAACAACAATCTTGACCGTGCCCACTACGCTGCTACTACAATCACAGCGGCGTTCATCAGGGACAAAAACAACAAATTGATTGCCTCGGCCGAAACTTGCCTCGCTTCTAAAAAAACAATTATTTCGCTCTCATTGCGGTTGCCGATCCAATTACAAAGCCCGCTGCAATCAACCACGATGACGACAAGACGGATTGTGCTGCTGTTGCAAAATCCCGCTTCGAGTCTACTACCGAGGGGATTACTCAAGACAGCAACAAATCGACAAATTTTTTCGCCCTCGATATCAAGAAGGAGCCACCTTTTTTTCGCCGCTGAATGCAAGAAGCACTCACTTGCCCCCCCCATCACCTGCAGTGTCTCCCATTACATCTGCAACCTCTATCATGCGAACAAGTGGAAGAGTGCATCCTGGCAAGACCACTTACACTGACAACAAACAGACAACAAAAGTACCATGTTCCAACCATGAAGAGTCACTTCTCATCTCCACGGAGCCTTTTATCGACCGTGGGAACAAGCTTGTTGACCATCAGTGTGTCCGGTATGTCTTCTTCTACCGTGGAAGACGCCATACGAACAAGGAGAGATTCAGACAAGCTCGCATCCGACACCTACCGATAAACCGACCCAATGTTTGTTCAAGTACGATAATCCAGCCTTTGCTGACAAGTACGGCCCTGGTTCCACGGACTACGGCAACGCTCCTCAACACGATCATAAGTTCCCTCTTACCTTATTTGTGTTCGGTATGCCATCTATTATTGTAGAGTCTGTTCGCCCTCGTGTCGACACCATACGAACAAGGGGAGATTGTGTCAAGCTAAGCCTCCGTACTGCATCTGCCAATGCCAATATCCCATCTAAGGATACTAATTGCAAAGCTACATATCTGGTCCCAGCCAAACCTGGTGACTACTACGTGGAGGATATCACCGGCAAAGCTACACACCTGGTCAATCCTAACAACTACGACAACAATAGTACCTTCTGTGCTGCTGTTTCTATCTATTCCGTTGTCACTCTAATGATACTCATCAAGGAACTGTCCAGCTCAATAAGAGTAGCATACGAAATAGGGTAGATCTTGGCGAGACCACATCCTACGGCCACAGTATGCTCTTCCGTAAATCAATCTTCCGGTACGGCCTGACAACCCAACCACGTCAAACGCTCCTGTCGACATCCGAGTTAACCGTGAGCTTGACCCTTTGCATAGCCTGCAACCTCTGCTGAGAATGTCCCCATCACATTGACAGATGTGATCAGCCAGTTGCGTTCTGTCTCAAAGCAACATTCATTTATGACTGCCCAGGAGGATGGCATTGCAGACAACATTCCATGGACAACCGTAATCAGACCAATACCCAATGAAGAACAGAGTTCATTCGCATTCAACAGTGAAGGCAACCGCCCCATATCTTTTGGTTACGGCACATGTTCGGTTCGGTCTGAAATGGACGCCAAGAGCTCACCTCTGAATCTAACGACAACAACCTGAATTTTGGAGACAATCACTGTGGCACAACGAGGTAGCGAAGACAGTGAAACAGCAGCCCATCTCTACATGTGTACTCTCAATGATCCAATACTGTGGAGTGCAATACACGGCTCTTAGCCTTATTCGCGACTCGATCCTTGTGGCTACCATCCATTCTGTGACCATTTCTATAGTGACCACCGTGCCTGCTTTGTCGACTTCGACTTGAAACAGCTGTTTGGGTCTGATACAGCAGCCTTACCCAAGCCTTGTCAACGAAGGGTGCATTCCAAGAAACGCCATCAAGTCACCACCTACATCAAATCCAAGTACAGCTATCTTGATAATCATGGATTCTTTCAACGACTGTGGAGATTCAACCAGGCACCTACTCAGCAGGAGGCTGAGGCCTTGGATCAACTCCTGCTCTCTGCAAGCCTCCACGCCGCCAAAAAGTGCCCAACCTATTCGCCCATTCCCAGTTCCCCAGCATTGACCCAGTTACGACTGAAGTTCCAAGTCTTGACGATGGCCCTGCATGCACTCCAATGCAAGAACGACGTTACCCATCAGATTCGTCTACGCATGGAGCGGATCTCCGATCCAGCCTTTGAACTACCCACTTCGTTGGAAGACTGCAAGAAACGAAAGAAGCAGGCCCGCAGGGAACTTCGTGCAGCGGAGGTAGATGAGTGGCGAACACACAAGTTGCGCCAAGAGTATCAAATGGAACTCCAAGCACAATACGAATCTACAGGTGACACGAGGTTGGCTAATGTGATGAAGCGCTTGCGCAACGCTGAAGCCACTCGGAGAGCATGGCAAAAGTGTGCCCACGCACGGGGTAAATGTCATGGTGCGGGACTGACAGCCCTGGAAGTCCCCGAGACCCAACCGCGCCACCAAAACAGTGCAAGACTGGATGTATGTCAGGATCCCGAGGAAATTGAACG